GAAAAGAGCAAGGGGAGAATGGAAAAGGAATAACACAGCAGAGGGAATGACAGAGGAAGGACGATACAGCAATAGCATATAAGGTTTCTTTAGATTAATCGAGCGAAAGGGCATGAAAGCAATTCTGGAACAGAGGATAGGGGGACGGGAAAGTAGAGTAAGCAGTAATGGAACAATTTTGATACAAATTGGATATTGGTTTGTTGATGTTGTCAAGTTCTGACACGAAAAATGCGAACACGTGCATAGGGTGTTTTTTTTACTGTGACTTTTTCTTTTGTGGTCGTGGAAAAAGAAGATAGGGGCCCAATGTACCTGTGTGTGAGATATCAAGACTACAATTTAACAATCAATGCATGTGTTCACAAAACAATACTATATGGTATTATTTATGTTATCATATAGTAGTACATATATAGTGTGTGTGTTTGTGTGTGTGTGTGTGTGTGTGTGTGTGTGTGTGTGTGTGTGTGTGTGTGTGTGTGTGTGTGTGTGTGTGTGTGTGTGTGTGTTCAGTCAGTGTCCTTCTTTCAGGCTTTTCTGCAGGGATGATTGTTCATTGTTGCCTCGATGCTATCCAGTGCTCGTGCTTGATACTGGTGTATTGTGACCCGGCTGCCATAGTGATGGGTGTAATAACTGCATGTTTAAAACTGAGTCTGTGCACCAGTTGTATTGCTTTATTTGGTACTATCTAATGGTGTATAAGGACTGTGAGATGCAGAGTGTTATCCACTTTACCTTTTGCTGAATGAAAATCATCTTCTGCATACAACATTAGAACGTATCTCTTTTTTGGCTGCGGTACAATCCGAGGTACTTCATGCTCTATGTGCTGAAATGCAAAAGCATTCCTTTTACCAGGGTATGTTCCCCAGTGGAATATTGCCAATGCGTCATGTCACTGCAGAGCTGCACTTGGCCCATTCAAGTGCAATACTAAACTATCTCAAAGTCCAAGTGCCCCCCAGGTGCTTCTTTGGTTGCCTCAAATACCCCCAGGCTACCGTGCTGGGGGGGGGGGGGGGCACATGAGACTCTTACTGTTCTGAAGAGGCATCCTATGGGACTCTGAACTCATGCTTCATTCATGTTATTGTCTGTGTATTAGCTTTGTTTGTTGATTGACATAAACACCTCATAAACAATTATACACATTCAAACATCTCATAATGTTAACATCCCTGACATCTCATGACCTTATATGGACTTGATGCTAAGTTCATATGTTAGAATGTTTTCTGCAGAGTGTTCTGGTTTCCTTTTGGTGACTGTGAGCTGTATTTTCATAATGTTTGGATCAAAAAAGAGATTTGATCGTGAACAGGCTTTGGTAGGAAATTGGAGTTGTAGTTGTTCCTCCTTCCCTGGCTCTGTTGAGGATTTGGCGGTACAGTTTGGTAAAGCTCAAAGCTGTTTTGTATGAGTTCCTTGAGATTTATCACTTTTGAATGAAGAAAAGGATAAAACAACATTTCAAAAGTGAACACTTCCTCTTGTCGTCTGGATTGTCATGTTTTGGTTTTGCAGACAAGGCGGCCGTGTAACACACAGCCTTCACTGTAGCATGTGTTGTACTAGGTGATATTTATATATGTTATACATCCCCGAAAATGAAAATCAATAGGTATAACAAGTTCATTTTAGATGCTCAGGCCATATGCACACGGGAACGTTTGCGTTTATGCACAGTATGCGCTTTCAAAAAAGTCTTCCGTTCACATGCATTCGTTTCATTTAACGTGTCTGTTCAAACGAGACCGCTGGAAACGCTGTAGTACATATGCCGGTCTGGTAACCCTAACCCTAACCCTAACCCTAACCAGTCTGTCTTTTTTGGAGCAACCAATATGTTAATACCCCAGTTTATACGGCTTAAGTTACTTTTCAGTGGCATGTTTTTCCTTTGAATCAAATCTGAAGCTAGCGCCTCTGCTGAAACCCATTCAACACCAGCGAACAAAAGGCATTTCTTTATTGGATGTTGTCTCTTTCTGCTTGATCAGAATCAGAAAGGCTTTATTCGTCCCACAGCGGGAACATTTATATTTAAAGTCTCTTCACGCGTACTGGCTATCTCAAGGGATTTGTAAATATGCTTTAAAGTGTCAATCAGCTCATCAACATAAGTGACAACTCCTGGAGTGTCAACTTTTTGAAGTGTAGGGGAGGAAGGAGAGGCAAAGGTTATGATGATACAAGAGTATTTGGACTGCTGCTCATGCTCACAGCTTTGTGTGTTCATCAGCTTTTCATGTTAGCTAGAGCAATACAATTTGATCCTAAGTCATTTGAAGACAACAGTGCTGTCCAGACCGACTGGACAAATACATGCAGATAGACATGCACATACAACATTTAGACACACACGTGCTAACATGTTTCACATGTGTGCCCAGGATCTGGTGTTGTACAGTACATGCACGTCTGACGAAGAAAACTCATATTTGACACACATTCTTTGATACATCAAAAGAAACGGATGGCTAAAGGACACACAAAAATAGATAGATGAGAAGGAATAAGAGACCTGTTCAGAGGCAGGATGATATGAGATGGCTTTTAATTAGTAGAATAAATAGCAACATCCAATACATGGCCACTAATGGAGTTGTAAAAGTCCAGAGGAATTACAAATATATATGTAGATAAATCTGAATTACACTTAACAAACAGCAGAACGTGCAATTCACAATGAGAATGTTCCCAAAAGCCTGTTGGTCTCCTCCAGCATAAGGTCTGTTTAATTTTAATTACTCCAACTTAACTGTGTGAACCAGCTCTATTAAAACCTGCTTTATGAAGACGCAATTATACGAGCGTGAACAGGCATTGCATTAAGCTTGGATTGTTATGTTTCCCTAATCTACTTTATAAATTGGATTGAATCATGTTATCACATCACTCAAAAACCAGAGGTCACACTTGGCTCATTATCATGCAAACACAGATGTAAGCCTATTTTCCTATCCGGTGTCAAAGTTTCCTCTTCAAACAAATGGGGCTGCGGATGGCTCTGTGCAGCTCATTGGTAAGCAGTGCTTTAAGTGGTGTAATGAAAAGCGGTTTCATTCCCTGTTGCTTTGTACTATGACAGGAGAATTTTTCTATATGCCACCGAGGGAACACTGTGTTGCAGTCTGAGCACAGCACGCCACCTAAATAAGGAGAAACTTACCAGACGAACTGCATGGGGGCAGCAGAAAATGCACAATGTATTCTCGATAATTCCAGTATTTAGATACAATATTTTCCACAACCTACTGCATGTGAAATGTGACGGTTAGGAGGATCTTTCCGACGTTTAGGATTTACCAAAGTTATGAAGGTTATAAGTTTAGTGTTCAGTGAAAGAAGGCTTTGTTACCACATCAGACTGCCTTTCCAACTTTAGGTGTTTTCAAGTGTAACCAGACACAAGTTGACTTTTTCCAAGGCTGTATTTCTACAGCAACAAGACCTCCAACACATCTCCAGTAGAGTGCTTCCGTGTAACTACGATTATTGGCAAAAAATTGCAGAATTGTTTTGATCATTATCTCACAATTGTCTCCCTCCACATTCCTCACAGTATTCAAGCTAAGAAGACGGATGATCCGGGTGACCAATAACAATCTTCAATGTTTCTGTTACTCTAAGTTACTCTGAGGGAAATAAAGCTATATTTTATTTTCTCTGTGGTTTTAAAGATTGGCAACCACACAAAAAGGAGCCGTAGACCATATAAAGCCTTTACAAAGTTGAAAAGAAAAGGAGGGTGTTGCCTTTGAGATATTGTTTTTCATTACAAAAGATGAGAAGAGCAAATTCCACCAGTGTCACCCTGCTGATGACCAAATCATCGAGACTTCAACTGTCTACCACTGCAGGCAGCACAACAGATCATGGCCCCATACGGCTGCTTCTCCAGGAGCAGCATCTTCACACTGCTCTGGCATCTCATCTCCCCACTGCTGCTCCACTGATGAATAGTTTCATGAATATCTCTGGCATGAGATATTCATGAAACTGTATGCAGGTATGTGCAGAACCCACCCGCAGGCCCTGTAAATAAAAGCCTTTCAGCACTGGATCTGAATGAGAGTCATAAAGAACCAGGCACCCTAGGTTGCTACGCTCTTCTAAAAAAAATCTGAGGCACCGTGGTGTCTTTTCAGTGATGGAAACTTGCTGTAGCTCTTAATATATGTTCGTTGCTGATGACCTTGTGCTAGTATATCACATAGAGCAGAAACAATTCTTTGTAAAGCCATGACATGCCAAAGATGAGTTTCTTGTGAAATTAATTTGCACATCGATACATTTTTATAACTTTTATTTGTACCTTGTTTTACACAGAATGTTATATTACGCGATGAAAAAGTGATCGTTGTATTCAGTTCTTTATGCCCATTGTTACATATTGACAGTTTTAATCAATCCACTTTATTCCTCTTTGATGTTACTGTTATTATCATCCATGATATAGCAATTGAGTCTTAACTATTTGCAAAGGGAGTCAGTTCACACCCAAACACCCAAACACACACACACACGTCACACTCACACACACTCTTCAGTACAGTTGTGTTTAGGAAAATCAAAGAGCCATTGGCACTGAAATCAACAAGAGCAAAGCATTTTCATTTAAGTCAAATGAACTAAATATAAAGGTCACACAATCTTTGTAATCATAGATAGATAGATAGATAGATATATAGATAGATAGATAGATAGATAGATAGATAGATAGATAGATAGATAGATAGATAGATAGATAGATAGATAGATAGATAGATAGATAGATAGATAGATAGATAGATAGATAGACAGATAGATAGATAGATAGATAGATAGATAGATAGACATAACCCCTTAAAACCCTTCAGTGATGTCACATCCTCGTCGCGCCCCCTCTGCAGTCTGCTAGATCTGAGATATTTGAATATTTCCCACTCGCTCAAAACTTTTTCCCTCGGCACTACCTTCAGTCGGAGCACCGGGAGCGGTGAGTGTGATGCCGGAGAACGAGTGCACCCTGTGCGGCCGTCGGAGCGCTGTGTGTGGATCCACAGCAGTAGAGAGGCGCTGAGGTAACGGAGCGGACACGAGCTCCATGTTGTAGGACTGCGCCTTGGAGACAAGTGGCCGCCCGGAGCCCGTCACCATGCGGGTCCTGTTGAGCGTCCTGTACCCCGTGCTCTCCCTCACCATCTTCGGATTATATCCCTCTATGGTGAGTGCCTTTTTTTATTCTATTTCTTATGACTTGTTGCCACTTATTTCTGACACAGCGCAGTATTGTTTACCGGTGATATTATAACAGGGCGCGAGGACAGCAACCCTCGCCCCGATACGTGCCAGTTTCTTTTATGGAGGCTGTCATGCCAAACTTCACTGAAAAGTCCTACAATTCAATGTTCCTTTATTTTTCCATCATTTATATTAACATTTGAAGGCATGCTCGTTAAGTGTCACACATCCACACTCACCTATAGGCCTACGTGGACTTTTCCCTCCTAATTATCATACAAATAATAACTATGCCTAATCGGTATGCCTGCAGCGCCCATGCACAAAGGTGGGCTTAAACACATCATATGAATCCATTCTAAAACTTTTGGGAAAATATAGAGCCAGTACGGGTAATAAAGTATTGTGTTACCTGTGACGGATTAGCAAATTAACCCTTTTTTGTATATTTAGTTGGTGCTGTTTTATCGGAACAACTGACTCATTTACATGCAGTTTTTTTCTGTTTTGCACACCCTATTTCTAAGGAAAAAGACATGGAAATATACAGTATGTATCAGTCATACAATAAGCAGAACATTTAACCAGCGTTTACTTAAGGTTCAAATCTGGTAGAACACAGTTCTCTTGGCTTTGTGACACTCACATTAGTATTCACCCATTTTAAACTAATGAGCATCTTCTTATTTGTAAGACTAATGGATTAGCTTATAATGCAGTTACGAGAGAAAGTGCATTGAGCGAGACCTACAGATGCTTCCATCTGTGATGTATACAGACAGGAACAGATGTCTCAGGGAAATGGAATCACATACATGCATAGGATCCGTAGATGTTTACAAAGGGAAGGCTGGAATAACAGTGAGTACAGTGGACCAGCCTGATCAAAGTCCCTTATGATTAATTGGAACATCTATATGTTGCTCGGGGTCTTCAGGTGGTGAGGGTGGGGAGCTGTCCACTCTCTGGTGCTGAAACTTCACCGCACACGCTTTCTGTGCAGCAACCCACAGAAGAAAGGAAACGTTATCCATCATTCCAAATGCAGCTGTCCAAACCTTTTTGAGCAGATACTGCTTTATACAAGGAGTGAGATCTTTGATCCTCTCCTAGTCCTAAAACAATGAGGTGATTAATCAAATAGTCCATAGAGAAATGTAATTGATTGTTAATCAGTGTATTGTCATCAGGTAGAAATACCAAATATCTCCAAGTTAAATCTCTTCCATTGTCATCATTGGCCGCCAGTTTTTATTTCAAATGCCTATCTTTGAGTGGTGGTTATACAGAAACAGCCTTTGATGCTTTCATATGTTAAAGGTCCCATGTCATGCTTTTCCGGTTATTACCCGTCCCCTTGTGTGTTACAGTATGTAGCTTTTTCTTCATGTAAACGGTCTGCAAAGTCACAAACCCTCAAAGTACACCCTGTAGCGAGTAAAACTCTAACACAGAAAAGACCTGTCTATGCTGCCCCAGAATGCCTCGTTGGAGATTTCTGTTTTTCTTCCTGGGTACCAGTGCCCGTACCCAAATGGACCCATTGGTCCAAATGGACCAATCCGTGGAGCCGTTACGTTACGTCCGTGGAGCCGTTACGTCCTTCCTCACACACACACACTCAATCTTTTCTCAGCTGCAGCTCTGCCGATTTCTCCTCCCTGAGACGGCGGGACGCGGCGAGGCTGTGAGTCTGTGTGTGAGCACACACACAAACTCCCAGCCAGGCTGCGGGTGTGTGTGTTCGGGCTGGGTTTCGCTGTGTCTCGCTGTCTCGCAGACGGCCACTGGGCTCATAAGGAGGGGGGGGGGCAGGAGCTCCAACAAGTTGTTTACGACAGAGAGTGAATACACATACTATACAGAGATGCTGTATGAGAAACCAATGTGAGTTTGGAAAATTGCACAATATAAATCTATTTTAGTAGACCTCAACAATGGAATTATGATCAGTTGAAATGGCCATGACATGGGACCTTTAAGCAATTCCATGAAACATTAATTGATTTATGAAAATAACCGTAACAGCCCTGAGCACCCCTGGTCTGGAGGTTTTTGTTATTGCGTTAACAAAGAGCTTGAGATATTATCTACTCTGTCATTCTCTTTCTAGTTTAGAAATATATTTGTGCAGTGCTGCCCCTGGTTCCCTCGGATGACCATCATTCAGCTCAGTTCTTATCTTTCATCTATTTGATTAAATCGATGAATACACTGCTGCCATCGAGGAATATGAGATATTGCTGGTGCAAGAGCTGCATGCAAATTGCTGCACGGCCCAAAAGGCCTCTCTGCTTCAGTGTTTGAAAATGATCTGGAAAGGCAAACCTTTTATGGTATTACACTAAACTGGAAATGATTAAGCTGTCACTCACAGGCTGTCAGACCTTTTACACAAGGCTTTGTTCATTATAGTAAGGGGCGGAAGCCTCTACCTCCTGGCCTTCACGTTCATGTGTTAGGGCTGGGTTTTTTTTCCTCGTTCAGTTTAGCAACTTTAAAATAACCTATTGAGAACCAGAACTATTCTGAATAAACTAAAGCTAGGGGTAGTGGTATGTATTCCCCTTTCTCTTGGTTTGGTAGATATTACCTCTGCAGTGTACACAATGGATCCCCAAGGAGCCTTTGTGAGTAAAGGAAATATTTGCATAGTTTGTTTTCCCTTATGGTCTGTGCCAGCCGGGTAATTACACAGTGAATGCTAACGGCACTTTCTAACTCTCAACAGCATCAAAATAATGGCTGGGATTTGTGTTTTATGATTACACATTATGTCCTGCACCTGGGGGACATATTGATTACAAGAGAAAGAGAGTTAATAGAGTCCATGAGTCTGATGTCAGGCCAAATGTATTGATCACTTAAAACGCACACAACATATCTTCCTTCACCTAATGGCTCGGAATCAAATTTGAGATTTGAGTTTCAAAATAATTGATTTCATGTAAGTTATGTTTCATGTTTTTACAACATTATATTTCATTGTAACTGTTTTTGTTCTATTCTACTTTCATTTTTTGTGTTACACAGTGCTCATTCAAGCTTGAAATGTAGTAACAGTAGCAGTCATGATGAATGGAGTTTTTCTTAGGAAGTCGATCATTAATCACAATCACAACATGCAATTCTTTGAAGCTTTTCAAATCCTTTAGAATCAGCAGTTATACATGTTCTGTACAAACATTTGACTGGCACAAAAGTCATATTAAAAAATGAGACGTGCTGTGGGCACACACCTACAAATGCACACAGCCATTTTATTTTTCTCACAACTGTTTTCACCAAATACAAGCTGACGACCTCTGAATATCAACAGTCTGTGTCTACACAAACAAGCAGCCAGCCGCCAGACTGCCAGCAAAGTCATTAGTCGTGACGCTGCATGTTTCATGTTTGAAGCAGGGGAGGGGGTCTTCGGAGCTGATGGACTGGAAATAAAGGAAGCCTGCTTATGATAGATTTGAAATGTGTATACCAACAGAAGGGAAAATATATGGCACTTTCTGCTCGGACGTAGAAAGATGTTTGTGTGAGGTTGTAATGATGTGTCAGTAGGAATGTGGGGCAGAGACATGTTGTGGATAATTGGATTGAGCTTATGGTACAGTATGTCAGACATGCTTATTCACCTTGTTGATTAGTAATATAACATCTACATAAGCAATGTGCCTTTCCCTCCTCTGTCTTTTAGTCCATACTATTCTTTCAACATAGGTACTACTATTATGTATAATTATGAAATGCTTAAAATCATGATGTTGAAACTACCAGGGGCATAGTTAGGGACCCTCGGGCCCCTGTGATTACTATAATTACAGCCCGAGCAGGCTCCATATCACATGCGTATCACTGAATGAGAGCTGGACCTGAGAGGAAGGGAAGACATTCGTGGTCCCAATAAATGTATACTGTACTCAATCAACCAGAGAGATGATTTTGGGCTATGCCTGTTCATTTCTTACTAGGGAAGATCAAATATAAAATAACGTTAATTAGCTCTAATCAAAGGCAAAAATCTGGACTGATTTTCAGGCACTAGAGTTGAATTAGATTTCCATGGCCTAAAACCTAAAAGAGAAATATTGTGTGGATGTCCGATCAGCGTTGATGTTAAATCAACAGCGGCGCCTTTTAACAAAACTGTGATGTAGTTCATGGTAAGAGAGAAACTACACATTCCAGCTCGTTAGTCTCTGGTTAGCCGTGGAGCTTGCTAATACCTAAACATGAGTTTTCATGTTAATTATTCTACATTAGGAAAAGCGCTTCATTCTTATGTCACAATATTGCACACGCGCTCTTTTCTTCAATATACAAGAGGAGATCCTACAAAAAATCCTACATCTGTGAATGTACAGTGCACGCTCGAAATGCTGCTTTCATTTGAGCAACATGTTTAGACACATTCTCTTAAAGTTGCTACAAAGCATTCTAAGAAACGGAAACACTTACGGGCCGTCTCCACGGCAGCGTTAAAAAGATCTTGGAGGTGGGCGTATCTGAAGCTTGGGGATTTTTTTGCGATCAACCAATCACATGAATCTCCCGCCCGCGACATACGAAGCCAAAAAGCCCGAAGTAAACTGGATATAAACTCCCCAAAACAGGCGAAAACATACCACTGTCTCTGCCACCTCCCTCCATGCCTGGCTCCTCCGGTTTATATCCCGGTAGGTCTGGTCATAAAGCACCGGGTGATTGATTCGCTACCGCTAATTTCTCCTCCATTTTTTGGAATATGAGGAAATGACCTGCGGTATGTCTCTCCCAGCATACACGCCGTTTGATTGGCTAGAGCTTGAACTGTCAGATTTGCGTACACGGGATTTGATTGGCTGACGCTTCCTCCTCAGCTTCAAAAGTTGAACATTGTTCAACTTTGGATCTTGAAAATCCTGAGAATCTCCGCTCGCCTGCCCACAATGCATTTCGGCGAAAGCGAAAAAAAGTGACGTCACCCCATTCAAAGTGAATGGGCAG